ATGTTAAGTAACAAAAAATAATGTATAATATCTGTAATTAAAGCTCTTTATAGTGCGTTGTGCACCTGCTTTTGTAAGTTTTTACTGTGATGGTTACATCTTGAATTAATATTTCTGAAATAATTACCAGGACATTGGATATGTTGTAGCTACACAACAAGAATGTCGGTGTATCGAAAGTGGTGTGAAGCTCTGGGCTGTAACAGCTTCAAGCACACACCTGCGGACCCTAGGGATACACCGTTGTTCACTTTCCCCTCAGACTTAGATTTGTAAGTATGGGAATGGTGAATAAAATTTCTGCTTTGTTACTAGGTTTATGCTAATGTTTTGTTTCATTTTTTAAATTAGGTGTAAGGCATGGGTTCAAGCAGGTGGAAACCCTGACCTGTTACAAATTGATTCATGCAAGTTGCACAAAAAGCTACTACATGTGTCAGAAGCACTTTCTGCCTGGCAACTTCACTGATGGAAGAAAGGAAAGATTAAAACAAGGAGTGACTCCATCAGTTTTCAAACACCCTCCTCTTCCTGATGAGGACATGGCAAACTGGCCACTGCATAATCTACCAAAAAAGAAGAAGAGCCAACGCCTCTTTCCTCCTCCTGATGAGGATATGCTCAGTATATATTAATTGAATTTTTTACCTATCTAAAGAGAGAGTTCCATTAATCACATTAACTCATCTTTAGTTAATAGATACCAAGGCTCCGTAACTTATTACTTAACTGCCTTTAACATTATTTTAAGAGTTAAAGTTATAACATGTAACTTAGTCCTTTGGAAACAAGTTAGTTATTTGACTTGTCCAACTTTTTTACATAGTGTGTACAGTTAATATCAGGCATATATTTCAAACTCGATAACTTTAACTTTTAATTTGACATGTGTGACATGTGTTTTGTTACATTGAGTAACTAACATTTGATTGTTTCAGCTTCTGTTCAAATGGTTGAGCCTGATATTATAGCAGCTTATCAAGAGGCCATCATAGTCCATCCAAATATAAGGAGAGGGGACATGAAAAGAAAACGGGCTGATGACTTAAATGATGAGGATGAAGAGTTTCGAGATCCGGATCATGCAGGTACATTCTAAAAAATGTTTGTTACAAAACAACATACCAATTGTTTTGATGAAAAGGAAAATTTCTTGTTATATGACCACAAAATTCTAAACATGATCCATCCACTTACACGGATGGGGACATGTATCTGACTTTCCGTTTTACCAAATCTTCTAACAAATTTTGAAGTTTTCGTTTCATTGATTATTTTGACCTGTTTTCTTACTTTAGATTAATGTTTGTTTTTACAGTGAAACGACCTCATGCAGAAGAGACTGACATAGCTGTTCCTCATGTATCAAGTAATATATATTGTATTTTGCTGGGATCATTTCTAGACTTCACTATATTGTATACTTTTTGAAAATTTGCTCTTGCATGTTCCTCATTGATTTGTTATTTGTGCTTCAGGATCCACAGAGAGAGAAGCTCACTCCCCAAATGAAAGAAAGCATCGTTCTCCTCCACCTGAAAGGCTGACCGTCTCCAAAATTGCGTTGGCAAGTGGGATTTCAAACCCAAACACTCTCTCCCATCGTGAGAAGCAGCTGGCTAAAACTGCCATGCAGTATCACTCTGATGCTCGCCGAATAAAACATTTACTGCAATGTTCTCAAAGGCGCGGTGCAAATTTAAAGAAGTTAGCCAAAAAATCATCAGTTGACCTGATACATGGAATGCTCATTTCACCTGAAGCAAAGATCATCTTGGAAGCTCAGTTTGAAAATTGGAGAAGAAAGCCTCAAGGGAGGAGATGGAGTCCACAAATGAAATGTCTCGCTCTTGCAATTTGGAAGAGAAGTCGTAAGGTGTACAGATGGTTAGCAAGTAGACTTGCCCTACCTGTCGAAAGCACATTACGGTATTTACTTGTTGATATCCCTTTACAGCCTGGAGTTAATCGAATAGTCATGGACAACTTGAGCAAGAAGATAAAAGATTATTCAATAAAAGACCGTGTGTGCCAGATAATGTTTGACGAAGTTTCTTTAAAACAAGGTGTATATTGGAACAAGATGATAAAATTAATAGAAGGGTTTGAGGATTATGGTCCAAACGGCCGGACTATTGCGATGGCCACTCATTCAATGGTGTTTATGGTGCAAAGCATAAACAGAAAATTTAAACAGCCTGTTTACTACCTGAGCCGTGGAACTTGTCCAACACCTATTCTAAAGGATCTATTAGTAAATGTGATAAGAGCCCTTCAGAATATTGGCCTTGTTGTCATTGCCAGTGTTTCTGATCAGGGTTCCACTAATCGTGGTGCCATAAATATCCTCAGAAGATCATGTCAAGAAGGTTTGTACGAGTCCGTGTACGAAGTGGATGGGAACAAGATTTGCCATATCTATGACATTCCCCACATTTTCAAAAATATTCGAAACAATTTCATGAAATGTGATGTTGACATTAGGCTGAAGCAAAAGGCATCATGGGAGCATCTTATTCACTACAAACAATTGTGTGAACAAACTCTTTTTAAAAAGGTCTCACTTACAAATGATCATCTCTTCCCAACAGGAAAAAAGAAAATGCGTTGCAAATTGGCCATGGAAACGTTGAGCCATTCTGTCGCCTCTGATATTGCTGGGATAAACCTAGCCAGTGAAGGGAAATACCTATCACATTGTATTATTACAGCAAAATTCCTATCCGATGTGGACCTTTTTCTGGATCTCTCCCAAGGAAAGGGGCCAAAGGATAAAGAAAAACCACTTCAAAGATGTTCTGTCACCAGAGATACTATTCACCATGTGATGTGGGTCAAAATGATTAAAGAAATGAAAACCTGGAAATTTGTCAGAAGATTTGGTAAGATGAAAGGTCAGGTTCATGTCCCCATCTGTGTTAGTGGTTGGATAGATAATGTGAAATGTTTTCAGAGGATATGGAAAAATTTGCATGATCATTTTAACTTTCAAGAACTTAACTTGAGAAATTTTGATCAAGATCCAATTGAAAATTTCTTTTCTATTATCCGGGCTACAAATGGCTCCAACAGGAATCCGACAGTAACAGCAGTTTACTGCTTCTATGAAAACTGCAATAGTAAACAATCTCTCCTCTTCTTTTATAAAAGGAAAAAATTGTGAGGATGATACAAGTGAATTACTGTCTAATATGTTGGAGTTAATTGGCAGGAATAGAAATGTAAGCTCTTCTAGTGAGGACACCACATCAACAGAATGCTCAATTGTTAGGGGCCAAGGAGAGTTGGACCCCCCAATATTTAGAACTGAGTACAGGTCAAAATGCAGCAGGCAAGATCCTGCCATGTGGTGCACAAAAATTGCTAACAGAATTTTAACCACTGAAAAGTTTTCAGCTTGCCCTTCTTGTAGGAGTACACTGCTGATCCCAACAAGTGAAGAAAGTTCAGCTGATCATCTCCTCCAAGAATGCCTGCAGCTAACAGCTTTGAACCGGCATATTGCAGACTTGCAGAGAAAGCAAAGAACACAACTTTCAACCTATTCTGACCTTGTAAAACTAAAAATTTCGAACGAGGAAACCAGAAGATGCTTATATGCATCTCCAAGTATGGTCAATGCTTACCTCATGTGTCATCGAAATTTCCTCCATAAGTGCCAATCTTTTTTGTTCCATACCAGTGTTTAGGATGAGACAGTTCAAACCTGCTCATCAGCTTGTTCCTTTGAGTGGTTGTGTGCAGAGCACCAACCTGAACTGAAGAAATTACTCCTAGATAGCTTTGCTGATTCCTTTTTAGAAAACATTTGTGTACAGATTAATAAGTTGACAAGAGATGCAGAAAAATTAAAGTCCACAAAGTCGGCACTTCGTACTTGGAGAGCAAGGATCATGAACCATGCTGACAGAGGCATAGGAATCAAGACGATGAGGACTGGGAGGATTTTGAATCTTTGCTACAATACATTGAAAAAATGCCTGAACCAGCTACACCACCAGCTACACCTTCGTGTTCCACAGGTATTAAAACTATTGTTTTCCTCTGTAGGTTCTTGTTGTACCAAATCACCTCAGCAACATTCATTGCATTAATTTTCTGATTTAGCTCATTTCAGTTTGGTATTTTGGGTAAGGATAGTATACCATCCCTTGGATTCCTGGTGAACTTACGATGGGTGAAACTGGTTTCTATCATTATTGTGGACTCATCTCTTGCTGGGATTCATCGATTTTTGGTATTTGGTTTACTTTTCATTGTCTTGGTGTATAGCATGTTAAACTGCAACCTGGTTACAGGGCTGGGTTAGTAGCAGGGTCAATGAGCTGGTCGAATTGATAACAATATCTCTGTATATTGTTACTTTCTTTAAGAAGTCCTGAACCAACCCCTGGTATTTTTAATGTTCAAGTATAACTAACATTTATTTGTTTCATGTTATTTATCATGCTACAATCATTTTATTTGCCGTTAAAACTGCAAAATGTCTGTCTGTCTGTCACTTGTCACTTGTCACTTGTCACTTGTCACTTGTCACTTGTCACTTGTCACTTGTCACTTGTCACTTGTCACTTGTCACTTGTCACTTGTCACATCAGAAACATAGGGAAAACCACATCTGGTTACATAAAGTCGAGATCATCATGACTTTTGGATGTTGGGTTGTGGTGAGTGTGTTCTAGATTTTTTCGGATGAGTAACTTTGACATACTATGATTTTGATTTTGAAATAATTGTGGTAATACTTGTTTGTAATCAGAATCTTTCATGCGTTGCAGGTCCACAAGTATTTACAACCCCACAGAATCTCCATCCACCATCTACGCCCATCCACTTCCACAGCCCAGTCCTGTGTCACACTTATTGAGGACTCCCCTTCATCATCATACTGCACCATCAACATCCACAGAATCAACCCCACAGAATCTCCATCCTCCATCTACACCCATCTCACTTCCACATATATCGAGAACCCCCCTTCATCATCGTACTGCACCATCAACCTCCATCCCTAGCCCGCACACACAGGCAGCTAGCACCACTGCTGTTGTTATTCCAATGAAATCTCCTCAAACAGTAATTCATGTGAGTATATTGTCATCAGAATATAATATGCTGTTCGTTCTCTGGTGTTTCATATTCCAGTTCTTATATTCAAGATTGAAACATAATAGAAATTAATATGTTGTATTCATTTTCTCACCAGTCTGTTGCTCCTAAGTATCTGTTCCCACCTGAATTGATACATAGAGGCTGGAGGAAGAAATACCCTGTTGGTGCTGGGATGAAGAACCAGACAAACACATGTTATCTGAATGCAGCTTTGCAGGTACCTCAGTTTACACATTACATTCATTTTTACCAACCCCCATGTTTTGAATACAGTAGGGATTTTTTCTATTATACGTCTAGGCTCTATTTCATGTCCCTGCCTTCGTTTCGTGGCTGCTGGAGGACCAGGAACTTGAAAAAAAGAAAAATCTATGCTTGGCATGTTCTGTCGCAGACACCCTACAGAAATCACATAGTTTACCTTTGGTGGTACCTGCTCGAATCTACAACCAGCTCCCCAGTAAGATTTATCCTCTACTCTATATTCTATTACATATTTTGTTATGTCCAACATTTGTTTCATGATAGACAATTACTTTTTGAATTTTCCATTTCAGTGATTAACAAGTTTTTAAAGCGAAGCCGCCAGGAGGACTCACATGAGTTTATGCGCAAACTATTGGAAAAAATGGAAGAGGAGTTTTGCAGGAGGTTTAAGAGTGCCATGTATGTATCATGCATTTATATCCAACACATTTCTTAAAATTTAGCTTCATTCCGTTGATTTGATCAATACAGTCATATCAATATTGCAGGAGAAATTCAAAAAACTCTAATACAACTCCAATGAATTTAATCTTTGGAGGATACCTTCTGCAAGAGGGTGAGCAGCTCTATATAAATATACACTTTGTAGTATGGAATTTAGTAGTTTTCATAATAATATTGCCTTTCTTTTCTGCTCTTTGCAGTGACATGTCTCAACTGCAAGGGTAAATCAACCCGCCCCCTGTATTTCTCCGACCTAGTGGTAGACTTGTGTGCCAGTGTTGAGGAGTCAGTGTGGAGTTATTTTAAACCGTCAAAAGTATCAGGATATACTTGTAACCATTGCAAAAAACCTCAAGCAGAGGCCCAAATGAGACAGTTACTTCTGAAAGCACCGAATGTGCTTTGCATTCAATTGAAAAGGTGATCAAATCTAGATCCTGATGTTCGTTCTAATATATTTTACACAAATGTTTAATTGCTATTTTCCTTTTCAAAAGGTTTAATCCTCTGGGAGCAAAGATTGATGTGAGCTGCAAAACTTCAACAACCTTGAACATGGGTAATGCTTTGCAACTGCGTCTGATGTTAAATTATTTACAATGTTCAGTTGTCAACATATGGTTTGTGAATGCCTTATTTTTTGTGTTTCTTCATAGGCAATGGTTTAACATACAATTTTTTGGCCATGGTTCAGCATCATGGGCCTCGAAGCAACTGTGGCCATTATAGCACAATTGCTGTTGCGGTTGATGGCTCACTTTATCACTTTGATGACGAACAGGTACTGTCTCACTTCAGTGCTTTAGTAAACAACTCCAGCTCAATAGTAATCATACTCTGGCGCATTGTCATCAATTTCTGTTTCAGGTCTCAGCAGTGACCCAAAGTTGTTTGCAACCTCCTACAGCTCAACCATATTACTTATTTTATGAGAAGACTAAGTGATAATTTATTTAGCATCAGTATGTATTGTCAATTTTGTACATAGCCAATGAATGTTATAAATTATTTTGATGTTGTTTCATCATTGTTTAACTTACATGTTAATTATACATGTTACAATTAATGGGAAACATCTGGAGGGTCCCCTGTCTAGAGGGTCCCCCCTGAATATTTTATTATTTTTTATTA